CAAAGCGCTCGTGCGTTGATGCAGCGGAAAAAGACCTTTTCGAGGCGGATAAATTATGCGGCTGTGGAGAAGTTGTTCGAAGAGCCGACGAGTGTGAAGACTAGTCAGGGCGAGAAGGTGGTTGATCTGGATGAGGGAGGTGAGAAGTATGATGATGACAAATATGATGAGGGGGTTGGAGGCGGGGAGATGGATTATTTTGATGATGGGTACCAGGAGGAGGTTTGATTATCTGCGGTTTTTATTTGGATAGGTTTGAAGTGAATTGGTTGAAGCTAGTGCATCTACGGATACCACATGGACTGAAATTAACTTGAATTCTGTTCGCCTGGCCCATAATGCGAATTCAACTCGGCGATATTTGAATCCTCCGGGTGTCTCATCTTTATAGGAAATTTTTTGGATATTTCAGCTGTCGGCCATATCGCTAAACCTAACCAGATACTGGGGTGCCTCGACGACACGATCTTAGCAACATTTAAGCGGGACATCAGTGCGCGAATGGCCCCGAAATTTCATTTCCAATTCGGCGATATGACTGATCTCAGGGTCCTGATATCCAGCCTTCAAAAACCGATCGGTCGAAACTTTTGTACCCACCCCCCACAGCAACATGGTCCTCACCCATCCCTCCATCGTCGGTGCGCAAGTCTCCAACATATATTAATCTCAGCTAACACTCTATGCAGACGGCTGGTTCCGCGAAATCAACTCGCAATGGCCAGGTAAGTTCATCTCGGAATGACTCGCTCGTGCTGAAACTTTTGGCTAGGCCAAGCAATGACGCTCAAGGTCAACCGGATCTTGCACGTCGAGCGGAGCAAGTACCAGGATGTGCTTGTGTTTGATTCTGCGACGTATGGCAATGTCTTGGTTCTCGACGGAGTCATTCAGTGCACTGAGCGCGACGAGTTTTCGTATGTCGCCCAATTCTTCCCGATCAAGCCTAAATTAATACCAACATAGGTACCAAGAAATGATCGCACACATCCCTCTAGCCTCGCACCCCAACCCGAAAAAGGTCCTCGTCATCGGTGGAGGCGACGGTGGTGTCGTCCGCGAAGTCCTCAAGCACGACACCGTCGAAGAGGTCGTTCTTTGCGACATTGACGAAGCCGTTATCCGCGTTTCCAAGACCTATCTCCCACACATGTCTAGCCTCCTCTCCGACAAGCGTGTTACGGTCTATGTTGGCGACGGATTCGCGTATCTCCAACGCAACACCGCGCAGTTTGACTGCATCATCACCGATTCTTCCGATCCTGTTGGCCCGGCCAAGGCCCTGTTTGAGAAGCCCTACTTTGAGCTCCTGAGGGACGCGCTGACGGACGGGGGACATATTAGCACTCAGGGCGAGTGCTTGTGGATCCATGCACCACTTATCAAGGAGTTGCATCAAGTCACGGGCAAACTCTTTGCCGTCGCCGAATACGCATTCACGACTATCCCCACGTACCCTTCTGGCCAGATTGGTTTTATGGTCGCTTCCAAAGCCCAGGGCCGGGACTTGCGTACGCCCGTTCGACGGGTCGAGGGATGCAGGTACTGGAACGAGGATGTGCACAAGGCGGCGTTTGTGCTCCCCGAGTTTGGGCGAGCGATATTGAGCGAGGGCAAGAATCTTTTACCGCATCTCGGGCCGGTTCTAGAGGCTGGAGCCAAGGAGCGGAAGATCTTGTTGCTCGGGAGTGGGTATGTTGCGCGACCTGCTGCAGAGTATATCTTGCGTGATCCTCGCAACCACTTGACTATTGGTGAGTAAATGTGTCCCGACCTATCGCGTACTAATTTTATTTGTATCAGCTTGTCGCACCCTCGCTACTGCTCAAGCTATGGCGGGTTCGCTTCCTCGTTCCACTCCTCTCGCCTTGGATGCTACTTCCCCCGAGCTCGAATCTCACGTTGCCGCGCACGACCTTGTCATTTCTCTGGTACCATTTACCCATCACGCAGCCGTCATCGAGGCGGCAATCAAGGGGAAGACACATGTCGTTACGACCTCGTACGTCTCCCCCGCGATGCGTGCTTTGGATGAAAAAGCCAAAGAGGCGGGTATTATCGTCATGAACGAGATCGGCTTGGACCCCGGTATTGATCACTTGTATGCGGTCAAGACGATTGACGAGGTTCACGCCAAGGGTGGCAAGGTGCGTCTTTTGTTTAATTAGTGTTTATGCGCCTAATTCCGGGGTAGGTTAAACAATTCTTGTCCTACTGCGGTGGTCTTCCAGCGCCTGAAGCGTCAAATAACCCTCTTGGCTACAAGTTCTCTTGGTCGTCGCGTGGTGTGCTGCTGGCGCTCCTCAACACTGCAAAGTACTACGAGGCCGGAGAGGCTAAGACCGTTGCTGGAAAAGAGCTTATGGGCGTAGCCAAGCCGTATTATATCACACCTGCCTATGCCTTTGTCGCGTATCCTAACCGGCAAGTTGATCGTGCTTACCTTGCGATATCTCGACTTACACGCCTATAGTGACTCGACTCCGTTCCGCGAATGGTACAATATTCCCGAGGCCGAGACTGTCGTCCGTGGCACGTTGCGGTACCAAGGATTCCCGGCATTCATTAAGACATTGGTGGATATTGGGTTCTTGAACGAGGAGAAGAAAGAGTACCTCGTTCAGGGTACGCAGATCAAATGGGCCGAGTTGACGGCCAAGACCGTTGGTGCATCTTCACCTGACGAAGCGTAAGTCTATGCCCGTATCTACGCCCATTACTCATATCCGTTTCAGCGCGATTATCGACCGCATCAAGCGGCTCACGTCGTTCCCCGATGCGTCTGAAGAAGCTCGTATTATCTCTGGCATGCGCTGGCTCGGACTGTTTTCGACTGAGCTCGTCGCACCTCGTAGTGGAAACTTGCTCGATACGTTCTGTGCGAGGTTGGAAGGTTTGATGGCGTATGAACAAGGCGAGCGGGATCTCGTGATGCTCCAGCACAAGTTCTTTGTCGAGTGGGCGGATGGAAAGACTGTGAGTGTTATCCTAGCAAACTCGCCAATCTAGTGTCATCTCGGTTGCAGGATATCATCACATCTACTCTCGAGGCGTACGGCGAACGCGGCGGGTACAGCGCAATGGCTCGCACTGTCGGCGTACCGTGCGGTATTGCCGTGCAGCTCATCCTCGATGGCGAACCTGCGCTATCGAAGCCTGGGGTACATGCGCCTTATACCAAGGAGATTTGTGATCCGCTGAGGGAGAAGCTCGAGGCAGAGGGTATTGGAATGGTTGAAAGGGTACTGTAACTGAACGTAAAAGTCGGGGAATGTATAGTTGAAGTGCCAGAGTTTAGAGGCAAATATTGAATATAGTTGCTATATATGATGTATTATCTCGACGTAAAGTGAGTCCAGCGCCTGAAAAACAGAATGGCAGAGAAGGGCTGCTGAGGAACGTGCTTAGTATTGGAGAGCTTCATACTGCTAAACACCGGTTGTCTATGTAAGCCCTTATAGCTCAGTGGTAGAGCGCATCACTCGTATGATTCGATCACGCTTGCGAAATGTTAAATTACGTAAGCTGCTTATGTAATATTACGTAATGATGAGGTCCATTGTTCGAATCAGTGTGGGGGCATTACTTTTTGCTTTTTGTCTGACTCCTAATATGTTGGTAGAAGGTCAATAACCCAAGGGACACTTGAGCTAGGGCCGGAACACATTAAAGTGTGAGGAACTTGGACAATATGATACTATAGCTAGCATATACTCACCTATGGACTTCAGGAATGCATACAACTTCTACTTAGGCCAAGCTTTTGGCCTAGGATGAGGAAAACATTGGATTTAAGACAACATGCTAGAATGAATGCACTAGAACAATGCACTAAAAGGCCACCACCAGGAAATACAATGCATAGATGCACTGCATGTCTGTATATCTGTCTGAACTATTTTTGCTTTGTAGTTTGAAAGCTCCAGCAGCTAAATACTGTACATCTCAATTTATGTAGATTTTCCCTATACAGGTGTCTATACAGACTCATACCATATCCTGCGATTTATTGGTAATTTCATAACATGGCATTTAGCCTGTTTCTACGACTTCATGTATTCCCTAGCCGAGTTGCACAAGGCAGATGGTTGCACCTTGCATATATCTCCATAACCGTCTCACTGGTTTTCCTTGTTATTTTCCAATTGCACTTTCATGGATTGTTGTATACATCAGGGTATTTTCACATGCCCAAATTGTGACACATTAGCCTTCACAGGTGGTTGAGTCTCACAAGTGATCATCCCCAAAGAATGACTCGGTTCTGGTGAAAGCTCCAATGCAAATTGGGGCTTGCTTAACTGAGCGGTCCCAATCGAGACAATAGAGTATTTCCAATTGGCTCTTTCATCCTCCCCACCACCTCGTTTTATCCCGCAATCAACATGGTTCGCGGCTCTGGCAAATTCAAGCAAAAACGCGGTGGAGGACGTTCTTTCTCCCGGGATATGGTGCTAGACAGTGACGGAATCGCTAGCGGAACTGATCGCCGGTACGTGAAGATCAACTTTCTCAGCCACGAGACATGCTAATTTAGTCCCGTTAGTGCGAGTCGCCGTAAAAAGCAACAAGACGAGGAGGGCGAGGACGAAGAGGAAGAGGAGGAGGACGAAGAGGACGAAGAGGACGACGAGGAAGAAGAGGAAGAGGAAGAGGCACCCTCGTCATCTGCTCAACCTGAACTCAGCCGCGCCGAACGTAAAGCTCTCAAGAAGAAACAAGGCGCAAAGCAAAAGGGAGGTGCTATTGGTACTATCAAGGAAGCGGGGAGTGGCGAGGAGAGCCAGGACGACTCGGATTTGGTTAACCCTAACCATGTTGCTATGAAGAACCTCTCCATATCGGATATTAGTGCCCCCAGGGAGTTGACAAGGCGCGAACGGTGAGTTACCGCAGTGTGGTTTGGCCGTGGGCGATTGACGTAGTCTCCGTGGTGCTAGGGAAGCCAAAGAGTCCAAGGAAGCCAAGGAGAGGTATTGGAAGGTCGGTTGTCCCGTTTTGGCTGGGGTCGAGGCTCAACGATTGCGTCTATCAGCTTCACCAAGCTGGAAAGACGGAGCAAGCCAAGAACGATCTTGCTCGCTTGGCCGAGATTAGGAAGAAGCGAGAGGCTGCAGCCGCACAGCGCAAGCAAGAAACAGAAGGTCGGTGCTATCCTCGCATCGCTAATAATTACTGATATTGTCGCAATCCCCAGCCAAGGCCGCGGAGATAGAGGCGCGAGAGAAGGCTTCTGGCCAGCGTCGCAAGTAAATGGCAAGTCGCTACGAAAAGGATCCCTAGTGGTATCTAACTCTTTACTAGAATGCACGACTTGTATTATTCTCACGTCCTGCTGGATGTTCTTGCCGCACTACTGAATCTATTTTGTTAACAATGATGGGGCGGACAACTCCACAGCACTGTAAGACAATACGATGGTACACACTGGAAGCGCATGGTGTAACAGGTGAGTTCGTGCTTACCCCAATATACTAAACATTCGAATACCAGTGAAATCACCTAACGGGGATGACCCCAACAGCAAAGGTTCGAAGCCGAGCGAACTTTGCTCTCCACCATCGACAGACCGAGCAGGCCGTGTTTGACAAGCAGCTCATAGTTTAGCACCACGCTATTCGTGTCGCCCTGCCTTCCGTATCGAGGCACGACCGGGGTCCCCAGAGTTGCGCTTGGTGTCCGAGTCTAGTGTGGGCGTTTACTCCTGGGAGCTAGACCATCCAATTCGCCGGTACTTGGTTAAACCACAGATCTACCTTTCGATGCGCGTATGCGGCGCTGTTGCATCGAGAGCCCTAAAGCAGGTGAGACAACCGGTTCAGCGATGTGCCCCGTGATTTTATCTCTACTTGCGTCAATTCCGTTAGGATCCCCGGTGGTATGGTCGGGGTACATATCTCGGTCTTTACCTTGTCTCTGCCGCCATAGGAGAATTAGCAAGGCGAGTACATGCAGGGCGTTCAGAGCGCCGTCAGTCCGATTTCCTATGGCGGCGCCTGTTGGGGCCGAGTGAGAGCTTTGGTATGCATAGCACTTACGACAATTAAGGTGTCTATTAAACGTGTAAATGACTTTTTTCTAAAATGCTGCGTTCGAGTCGGAGTCAAAGGTGACGGTTGAGCTCAGGCCTATGGAAACTCCAGCTATGTTGGTGAGTGTAACGTTGTGCGTCCCGTTTAGACCCAGACCGCCCCGGAAATATGAATGGGATCCCCAGCGAGCGACCAAAGTGGGAATTAGAGGTACAGGATGATGGAACAGAACCGAGCGTCAACGCAGGTGAGTATAAAAGTTGCGACTCGAACTGGTACTATTTGGTAGCTTGATAGACTTGTTGAAGCGTATCAGTTCACGTATGTATGCGACACCAGTCGACACTTGTATCTTAGGCAGAGACACCAAGCTCAGCGATCCCTTTATCGCCACCGCATCGCAGAGGCACCGCACCATGGCGCCGTTACAATAATCTGATGGTAGAACTAGAAGCGGCCCGCTCCGGCCCACTGACCTTGCTTCTGGCATATAATTTACCTGCGACTGGGCTCAGTCTCATGGCAATAGGACGTAAACCGCACTTCATAAACAAGAACCAAAGCTTCGGAAATCCGCTTACACTGGGATCGCTGCATAACTAATCGGAATACGATTATTGCGAGATTTTGACAACAAATTGTTCACAACGAAGCCGATCAGCTTAACAAATTAGAGTTAAGAACAGCTAGAAGTAAGTGGGTCATTCAGCCAACAGAGAGACTAAATTAACAACGAGGTGGAATACCAAGAATTGGCCTAGGGTGGAACGATGGTGGCCAACCAGATCGATAGGATAAACTAATAGCGTGCAAGAAATGTAATTATGTGGCGGAAAAGCGAAGTGCAAGACTGGAAGCTTAACATTAGAAACGTGGTAGTCGAGGGAGTTTGTGCCTGCGACGGCGAGGGTCGGTTAAATACAAGTCAGTGGGCGATGGTTTCAGCTGAGCCATTCGAGTTACCCACCAAATCACCTCCTCGATGATCAAGATAGTCCTGGTATGCAACTCGAGATCCGCAACTGAGCGTCGCTGCACTAGTACAGGTCGCTCACTCGAGAGTTGTAGCACCCGAACCACGAGTCAGCGCCACGCGGTCAAGAGAACAAGATGCTGCGGCGAAAACATAATACTGTATTCCGTCGGAAATCACTTGACAAGAGGGTCGAGAGAGCATACAATCAAAAC